TATACAGAATTACATTTTTTGATATACATCGAAATATTATTTTCCCGTTTGTGTCAAAAAATCCTATCATAGTGGCACTGGTCTGTTTATGAATCATGGAAGAATGTGGTTATCTGGTGAATAAATAATTAATAGCAGTTATCTATTTTGTACAAGTCCTATTGTTCATGCATTTCACTTGTTGTTTTCTAGTTATATTGTGATACCGCGGGAAATGCAATTTTACGAACAAGATTGGGTGGAGTTCACCTTTTAAAGATTTTATGAAATGTGCATAGAAAATAACAAAGCTTTTATAGGTTGTTGAATTTACCAAAGATTTTATTTATTGTTTCGTATGCGAGTGCAATTTTTATTATATAATTTATTTAATTGTAATAATGATAAATTATTTAAAGATAGGTGAGATATTATAATACAATATTGCACTTTTATTAAATTTGACGTTTGGTTAGTTGACCGTCCAAACACAAATTCATCAGTCATGTGTTAACATACCGGGTGTCGATTGAAACAGGTCGAGTTTTATTTTAAGGGAAATAATAGACATATATTTTTCCATCCAACCCATAGGAATATTGTTGGACGATGTTATAGTGACCATACCTTGTCCTCATCCCTTCGGTAGCTGCCAACTCAAAAATATTGCTCCTCATCCTGCTCATGAAGGGAGTTCATTTTTGAATATGTGACTATGATAGATATCAGGGATTACACCAAGGCTATTGAGTAGGCATAGTTTCTAGTAATGAAAGATATTTGAATTCTGAAAATCGTTTGCTTTTTGATTTTAATAACAAAAAAATCAACAATCCCTGAACAATTGTTTATGTCGTAAATCTACATTTATTTCTGTCAACATAAAAAACAATTGTCTATTCTTCTTTCCCTATCTTTAAATTAATTTTATCATCCGTGTGAAATGGTATTGTGTGAAAACTGTTGGAGAAGTGATTGTTTTAGCATGTTTTGAAGTATGTGTTCTCATTTTTGTTGAATATTTTCGACATCTGCCATATTAAAGCTATATAGAAAACGTTCAAGATACATTTCAAGGAAATGTATATATTGTTAAAAATAATTATGTAATGTTTTAGATATTTATTAATGTGAGCTAGAGTAGTGAATATAAGTAATGAAAGATAAACTGCTAATATTAGTAAATGTTTAGATCGATGTATCACGGATCTGTGTTAGCACAACGCTGTTGAAAGCAAGGGATTATCAGAGATATGGTTCAAACCATTTAAAGCATTAACTTCTAATTTTTCTTAGTATTTTTTTTTTGTTACTCGAAAATACCTAGATACAACATACAATAGAAAAATATAACTGACGTATGATACAACCTTTATTATTATTATTATTGATTTGAAGTCGTTTCCACAATTAGGTAATTTTGTGTACATATACCAACTATTGACCGTGGTAGTAGTACCTAAATGAAAATGGTGGATTCGGCTCAGGTTTTTGTGCCAAACACTATCATTGAATATAAACTTGCTGTTGCACTTTGGTTTCCTAATACCAATTGACCATAGCAGTTATCGTTTGTATCCTAATATAATTGTAATAATTGTTACAGTGTGTTTATAATATGGTGTACCTATTTCTCTGATGGTGTACTAAAATATAAATATAAATACTACAAAAAAAAAATTGTTCTCATTTGATTTACATTTCCGATTTTCAGAATACGTTTACGCACATATCTGAAATGCTTATGGGGTTATAGGCATCTTACACATATCATATACACAACACATCATAATATATATGTCCATGGTTTTTCAACAGTAGAGATACAGAGGGTGTTGCCAAATTTGACCGACAACGCTTGAAAGGTGATTGTTTACTGGCAATAACTCAAGAAGGGCTGACTTTTAGAATGCGAATTCGGTAATTATATGCGGTTTCATGTTCAAATCGGTTCATTTTTGGACCAGACAGTCATTTCTGAAATTTCCTCCGGTTTCTGCTACAGTAGGGTAGTGGTAATTTCTTCTGGTATATTTTCTATGCTACTGATGAAATCCTGCTTACTTTTAAGTCCTCAGATTCCCTGTTCTATTTCATTAAAAAAGCGCATAACCTTATCAAATGAGCTAAAATGGATCATTACCAAAATATTTTGGTGGTGAGTTGATTAGATACTACTAAAAGCATTGATTCTGTTGCTGACAGAAATATAGTTATTCAAACTTTTAACTTCTGTACATGATGAAAATCGACTATGTATACTCCCATTTTGGGTCAAATATCTCTGTTCATTCCAGCTCAAATCATGCATGTTTTCAACAATTTCAACAAAATCAAACAGCTAACCAGGACGGGCGCCAAATAAGTGATCTTAACGCTTTTGGCGCCGAGGGCACAATATATTTTTTAATAATATAAATAATTTAAATTATCTTTATCTTCCTAATAACATTTTTTCTTTCAAAAAGTAACAGCCAACAAAAATTATGCATCAATATGAAATCCACTACAAATAGGAGAGAAATGGGTAGGTACTGATGATTCAACGACGATATTTGATAAAAAAGAGGCGGATTTTCGCAACACTAGATTTATAAAATACCTATTCAAGGAGATATATATTCATCGAGCAACAGAATGAAAACAACAAAAATCATGAACTGACTCTTCAAAGAGGAGAGAACCTACTATTCTTTGGTGATTTTAAGAATATTTTAAGTTCTCGAATAATACGAAACTCGCGACCTCTAGAGGAAAATATAGGTACCTATGCAAAATCAAACAACATAAAATTTGATAAAAAAGTTTCCATTCATTTGTCTAGCGATTCTGTGGGTGGCTAATCTCTGGTCTAGGTCAATCAACGAACGCCAAAAAAAGGTCTACTAGGGTAAAAAATCGTCTAGTCGCATATTTTTGTGCAGTGGTAGAGGGAATAAGTGCCATAAGCAATAGTTATTTATTATAGTTACAAGGGAAAAAAGTTGTAGATTTTAGTTCCATCAGGTTGTGACAAAAACCGTGATTTGAAATCTTAATATTTTTCCCGTGTTCAATATACTATTTTTTTCTGTGACAGGAAAAAGCAAGAATCAATAATAAATGTGGAGAAGATATTACAATTAAATTTTTGCCAGTCTAATTATGTGTAATTTCACAAAATTGCGAATTTGTGGTGTAGAAACTAGAATTTCTAGCCTAGAAACAGACCAATTGTAATATAGAAAATAGAAAAGGACAGAAGTGCAGCTGTGTGCATTGAGTTCATTGGCTGTGGTTGCCACAGACGTGGATGCCACTGGATGGTAATTCAACTATTCACGATAGAAAATAAGCGTACGCCACCTACCGGAGTTCTTGAAAGCTGTCAAAGCGGCAATAGCGGCATGTTTACTTTGTTTTCATTGGTTCACATTTGTTTTTTGTTTGTGCTTATTGGTCATATCATCAAAACAAACCGCTCAGAAGTGTTCAACTTGCTGCCGTCAGGTGGGGCTACGTGTTTTTTTCTATCGCGAATAGCTGTCACAGCGGTATTTTGTTAGAGCTTAATAAAAATGGAAATGAGAAACTGTATTCTGTTTTACTATATTATGTCTCTTTACGTCAGCAAAAAATAAAAATCGATTCCCATGATGACTAGTTTATCTTGGACACAGTGTAATAACGTTGTGATTTACTTGATTTCCTCAGTTTCGTTTTCAAATTTTCAATTTTATGACGTATAGTTCTGCAATCAATTCCTCTTTATCCATGATAATTTTGTTTCGCAATTGGAAGAGCGATGCTCTCGGCCTGAAATTTTATGTTAATTTGTTTCCGCACGGATTATTTGTTGCGTCCTATCTCCTTGCGTCCTGTTTCTTAAATGCCTCATTTCAGTCATTGTTTCAGTCAGATTTCAATTTGTGCGGATATTTTTCAGTGGTATTTTCACCAAAACATCGAATGTAGTGTGCGAGAACTGTCTGCAGGCACTCAACTCAGCTCTGAGATATTTTCAATCGGAATTGGTCTGCACGATGTTTGGGCAAAACGAATTCAAATCTTTGACCCGGATCGAATTGACATAATTGACAGTGATGACAAAGAGATAATTTGTATAGGCAGTGTTGCCAATAAGGAGCAAAAGGCAGAATAATGGCGTTTTTCAACTTTGTGGTTTTACGCCATTGATATTTTTGGTGAATAATAATTGATAATTCTCTACTTGTATTGAATATATTCGAGTGTGTAGAGTAACTAACACTGTTGATTTTACGCATACCCAGCATGACAAAACCAGAATTCAAGTGTCGCTGCATCGCACCAACCAAAGAATGTATGCGCAACCTCATTCAGTGCTAACCTTGGCAGGCATCCTAGCTAGCTACATGACACGAATGACAATGAAGTCTGACCTTTGAACATAAAACATGTTTTATGTTCAAAGAGTCTGACATGTTTTCTGTTGGCACTGTTGGGAACATTGCGCTGTGCACACCTTATTTTTTCATGACGGCAACACTGGTAGTAGTCGGTAATAGTCGGGATTACTCGGGATTATCGCTGTATCTGACGTCTGTGTTTTTTATCTGATACTGTGATACTGATTATAATTTTAGGAATTTTAGGATCCTAGATCGACAACTAATTACGCATAAATAGCTTCTGATTCGTATTTATGTAGGCCCTAGGCATCTTTAATATTGAAATTCAAACATAGATGTATTCAGACAAGATTCTGAATTCTGACCATTTACCTTGTATGTTTATCTACTCATTTAGCTTTTTTTTCCAACCAGGTATCTAACTTCCTGTCAATGTGTCATTGTTTAATAATACTTTGAATAAAATGACGAAAATCTGATCACAACAGTGAATTTACGTAGTTTTATAGTACAGACTGTGAAAATAATACAAAATTTGAAGATTTCAACAAGAACATGAATGAAGTATTCTTACTTCTCACTATTCTCCCGTCACATGCGTAAAAGGTTCCCGCGCACTACGTGCTGCTAGTATTTTCATGGCTCCATGGCAGAGCCGCCATGATGGCTTTCTGCTCAACATGCTCAACATGGAAAGTTTCGAAGTTGTTTTATCGTATTTGTGACTGAGTGCGTGTAAATAAAAACAATGGGAACGTACTAAAGGAAACGAAGATTTGTTTAGTGCCCGTCTCGGACGGCCCGAGGGTCGGGAAGCTAATTTTCAGGAAATTTTATGTTGCCCTTCTCGTGTGTTTTGTGCTGTCAACAAAAATGTCTAAGCTTTCATTTAGGGCGAGGGCCCTGGATGCTAGTAAGCCCATGCCTATTTACATGGCTGAGGAACTTCCAGATCTTCCTGATTATTCAGCAATTAATCGGGCAGTTCCTCAAATGCCATCAGGAATGCAAAAAGAGGAGGAAAGTGTAAGTTTCCCTCAAAGCTGACACCAGGCAAATTGTAAAGATAGTTGGCGGCCATGTTGATAATACGATTCGCGCTCCCATGCGCACCCGGCTAATATTATTTTTGTTTTTAAATTGAGGAAATGGATGGAATTGTTGATGACATTACTGATTTTATTGTTATTTTTCATAGTTAATTTTCTTTATTCTATGTCCAAGAGCTGTCATTCAGTCGTACAGTCTTTGTTTATCAAAATAATTCATTCCTTGTGTTAATCAAAATAATTCATACCTTGAAAATTATGTCTTCATAAATTAACTGCATCAAAAAATGACTCCACAGGAACATCATCTACAAAGGGCCATTGTGGCTGGGCTTATTATTCCAACTCCAGAAGTATCAGACATTCCCAGCAAAGATTTCTATGACAAGGTTTACCCAGCGAATTACAAACAACCCAGGCAACTTATTCACATGCAACGTAAGACTTTATGTGGTTCCAAAAGCACAGTTTCTACATCACAAACTCCTTGTTGTGAAAAAAATTCTAAGAGAATGAAAACAATACTGTTGTTTTTTTGAAACCATAGCAAACTATAATGAAAACATTGACACTGACACTATAATGATGATATTATTATGCTGTCATGACCACCTACATCCTATATCTGAAGATTACCTAATCTAATTAAAGCTTGCCTATTTTTTGTTTGCAAAAGAATTGAAGGGGTAGGTGTCTGAGGTGGTTCTAGAAATTAAGGGCAAGGGGAGGACACACCATCGGCAGGTGACGAGTATTCAGTGAAAAAAGGGGCATTAAGAACAATATCTTGGCATAGTGGAGGGGGGCATACTGCCCCCTGTGGCGCCGCCACTGGTGGGTGTTATAGGTAGATTATCTATTCCACCACAACAGTGTGGTACCTCAGTTGATACCTTGGTTGATTCTAACTTTGGTTTATTCATCTTTCATTTCTTCAATCAAAATTGCAAAAGAATCTGGACTATAGGTATACAGGGAGGCCCACATATCATTGTCCCACTATTGCTATTGCTGAAAGGGTTAGAAATAGAAAGTTGGTTAAATGAAATTAAAGTTGCACATTTTGGGGGGACATATAAGTGAAGTAATCAAAAGAATCCCCCAGATAATTGAGAAAATACAAAATTCTCCATTTTCCTTTCCAGGCACATGTTTCATTCATCCAGGGCCACTTTGTATAAGGGAGATTCTGAATTACTTGCAGTCTTATTTTCATAGGGGATCTTTACCTATCAAGATAAACAACATCAAATAACATCATCATAACAACATTAATTTTTTGAAAAAAAAAAATATAATCACATGTAGACTAGAGGGTTCTAAAATTCATGACCACAGAGATGATTTATTACATAATACAATACAACTTTATTAGGGGTTTTCCTGGGTCTTCCATTGCATACAGTATATCACATATATTATTACAAGATGCAAAGAAAATATAAATATAAACCTATGTAAATATCAAATACAAATTAACATAAGCATATCAGCATATCCTAAATCAGTATGGATTGGTGGTATGCTTAACTAGGAATATACAGGGTATATTACATTTTACTTTCGAATAACAAATTTCATATCCACAAGCTGTTATGAAGTTACTATGTATAAACTCACTCTCATATCTCAAGTAATCTGTGCTCAAGTCCTAAAGGGATTGTGCAGATAACATTCCAAAGGATCAAATTCCTTGTCAAATTCAGAGGGCATAGATGATGGCAATATTAATTAATTTCGATAACTCATAAAAAAAACCTAAAATCTAAATTATTGTTTTCAGCTGTTTTTAGTATCTCTAAACGTGAAACAGAAGGTTTGTTTTTTTTAACATGTTATTTTCAAGTTCCTGTTCTACTTTTTTGTGAATCAGTGAATCACAAGATGGCCTAGTCAGATTTTGCATAACTGTTTCCGTTTATGAGAAACAAGTGATTTTTTTGAAATTTTATACATTTTGGACCCCTTAAATATCTACAAATAATGTTGCACTGAGAACTATGTCCAACAGAGAATTTTGCACAGAACCCAGCGGGTACTCAACATTTTTTTCATGTACGATTTTGGAGACATGACGAACTAAAAAAAAAGTATCCCGAAAAAAATAATTCAGTACGCCTCTGAATTCTGCGCAAAATTATATGCTAGACGTGGTTAATATTACCATTTTTCATCAAGTTAGCCTGTCAGGTTCATTAACAAAATTTAGCTTTTGCCTTACGGCCTTGCTATTTTCAAGTTTCTGTCCTACTTTTTGTGAATCAGTGAATATCAAGATGGCCTAATCAGATTTTGCATAACTGTTTCCGTTTACGAGAACCACTGAACTATCGAGAAGTCGAGAATAGCGGATTCCATTGGTAAAACTAGTGCACACTCAGTGTATACATTTCTCTTTCTGCTACATGTCAAAAAGAAGGATAGATATACACTTGAGTGCATAAATACTCCACCAGTTCATGACCAATGGAAACCGTTATTAGTGATTTTAAAATTTTATACTTTTTGGACCCCTTAATTATCTACAAATAATGTTGCACTAAGTACTATGTATAACAGAATTTTGCACAGAACCCAATGGGTACTTAATTTTTTTCATGGTACGATTTTGGAGATATGACACAAACTTATATATTTTTCATGTATTATATACTATATTTTTCATATATTATATCCTTGAATTCGTTATTTTTTTCTTTCCACTAGGAAAATATCATCATAATTCAATCTTTGAGTGTTTTTGAGTATTTCTGGGTATCCTTTAAGTACTGTATATAAAGTATTATAAATCATTTTGAAGGATTCAACAATATAATAAAATCCATTGAAAAATATCTAATACCGTAACCCGAAAAAAATAATTCAGTACGCCTCTGAATTCTGCTCAAAATTCTCTGCTAGATGCGAGGCTAGATGTGGTTAATATTACCATTTTTAATCAAGTTAGCCTGTCAGGCCCATTAACAATATTTAACTTTTGAGTGTAGTTGAAATACGTGTTACAGTTATCCATGAAATCATACATGTAGAAGAGCGGGCTGCAGATTTCTACCATCATTTGATAACAAAATGATATATCCCAAAGGACAGTAAAAACATTGTAGTTGATTCAAACATTGCACTTTCCTGTGCGGACATTTGCACTCGATTTCGTGATTTGATAAGGGTATAAGAATTATGCCATCTGATATCAATTTAATGGTAGATCTCAAAAACCTACCTGTCTGAGCCAAATCCACGGTACAGCGATTTATTTGCTATTATTTCGGACATACTTCCGTCACGTGTTAACGAGTGGAAACAAAAAGCGAATGAAAGGGAATGATGTCCCTTTTGCGAATATTCAAACGTTCCGCGATTCAAACTGATCAGAGTTGGTGCCAGAGCGTCAATATTTTCGTGAATATTTCGCCCTCGTCGAGAGATAATATCCGGTGGACCAGTGCTCACACTACGAGTATTCTAATCCACATGTTACATTTTACAATGGTCCATCGGATATTATCTTTAGAGAGCGATGAAATATTCTCGAAAGTATTGACGCTAACTTAGATCAGTTATCAGTTTGAATCGCGGCACGTTTGGATGTAACCAAAGGCCACATCATCCCCTTTTATTTACTTCTTGTTTCAACTTGTTATCACATAACGAAAGTTTTTACATGCCTTTGGGACATATTATATCATTTCGTTATCAGACGACGGTCGAAAATTGCAGCCGGCTCTTGGAGTACATGTAGAGTGTGAAATTTACCAGCAATGAATGATGAAAATGATGTTGACAAAAAAATCAAAACCATCATCAGAAATGCGAGTAGGAATGTTATGATGGAGATGGAATTCGACCCTTTGCCATTCAGTTCATACTTTCTGAGTATTCACAATATGAAAATACTGAAAATAATTTAGATTATACGTTTTTTTGGATGAGTTCTCGAAAACGGTTTCATATGGGTATAGGGAATGGGCGAATGGGCAAGTTTCCTTCAGATGAATTTTCATAAAATAAGTTCGGAATTCCTCAGTTTTATGTCCACGCTGTACAGAATGGCGATCGATAATGTCCAAGTCAGTTTCATTTTCAGAATAAGAAATTTCCAATTTTCGGAGCGGCAAACTGTGACGTATGTACATTCTGAATCTAGTCTGAATTTAGCTGATGATGAAGAATATAGCTGCGAATGGCTAACGAATAAAAACTAATGAAAAAAATTGAAGACAACTTGGCGTCGTTGTTGATGATTATATCATTAAAAATAGCGATAATCACCCTGTATCTTCGTTGCTAATTTGAATGGAGTTTTCAAATTTGGTACATTGATTTGATTGTATCAGTGTATGATATTGTCAGTATCAGACGAAATATGACACTTCTGGTTTGCCCGGAAGTGCATCCAATTCGTTCATTTCAAATAATACAAAGTATATATTTTTTTGGAAATTATTATTCAGTATAACCTGACCTCTTCAACGATATATCATGGTCATACTTTCAATTCACAATCTAGTCATATACCCAATTGAGATTTTAGAAAAAAAACTTTGTATTCAAAAGTTTCATGTAATAATTGCTATGCACAATAACTTATTTTCTATTTTTCAACACCGATGAACTCATCCTTTTAAAATGCTATCATAGACATTTTTGAAGTTGCTCAGAAACTCCCATACATATTGAAATGAATGACAGGAAAAAAAATCAATTTTCTGTTTTTCTATTCAGTGTTAATGAAGATAACCTGCATGCTATACCTACTTACATTGTATTGGACTTTTCAAATCCATATTAGTTGGAGTTTATTGTGATATTGCATTTTTTCTATGGGCTTAGAATCATTATTGAAGCAGCAAAATCTTTTTATTATTATTTTTTTATAAAATCTCAATTATATTAGTTTATTATAGATTGGTAGATTGAAAGTATGAGTGTGATATATCGTTGTAAAGGTAATTTTATACTGAATCGTAATTTCCAGAAAACAATTATACTTTGTATTTAAAATTAAAAAAAATTGATGCACTTCCGGTCAAACCAGAAATGCCGAGGGAAATGCCATATTTGGTCTGATATAAGCGAAATCAAACACTCCTGAAATCAAATCGCCAATTCAGCCAAGACAGTCAATCTACATTTCCTGCCGTGTGAAACATATAATTCTTTCTCCAAACGTTTTAAAACCAATTTTGCATAATATTTCTATTGAAAATTCCATCATTTTGTGTTCACTCAATGTCAGTGTCAATTTTGATTACCAATTTCATTCAAATTTCTTAGAACGTTGCATAGCAACAAACTTTTCTGCCTGTTTTTATCTCATTCCTTCGCCAGTTCAGCTTAATGCCGGCCCTGACTTTATAAGTACGAAGAATTATCTAAAGAAATTGAAGCCATTGAAGTCAAAATTATCTGTTGTCCTTATACAAGGTGTTTTTGAAAAA